CACCAGTCACAGTTCTAGAGCTAAAATGATAGTGAAACAAAGTTCTGAGGCCGATTTCACCTTGCCATTTCGGATCATCTGAGTTCTGTTTGATGTTTTTGATAACATTTAAATTTTCCCAAAAAACCAGAAGCTAATTGCATCCCAATGCCAGCCTCCGATGATAGGATAGATCCAGGACTATTGGTAGCCGCCGCTGTTCACGCATGACCCTTTTTCTTGAGCGCTAACTAGGCTCCTTGAACACAAATATTATAAGCATTCATCGAATGAATACATGTAGAGTGCGCTCTGAGCCTTGCACGCAAAGGTATTTCAATTCAGCATTTCAAGATGCGTGTAGCGGTCAACACTCATTGCCAATGGCCGGATAGACCTGTTAAAATTTTCTTCCAGTCTGACTACCAGTTATGCTACCAGTTATGTATGACCGGGAGCGAAATGAGCACGGAAACTAATTTTGGATGCAGCAGACGCAAGAAGTAATTCCGCAGAACTCAGCTCTAACACTTACCCATCAAATGTGAGGTTTTTACTGAGCAGTCCTTCACCTCTTTTCGAATATTCGTCTAAGTAATACTGTACCTATGCTGTAGAGGTGGAGAGCAGGCATGTCACGTAGGAAGGTGATAGAAAAACTACCTGCCACTCTGTGGTAACTGCAGTTTATTTCCTCATAAACCGTATTCATATCAACGCAAAAATTGAACAGAAGTGAGGCAAGCATAAAGCACAATCTGATTTCAGCTACCTCATTTTTCGACATTTAGGGCGCATTTACTTGTTTCACAACGCGTGCGAAGATACGCACTACCTTTTTGAGCCTTTTGCATATTCTGATCTTCTGATTGCCTTTGAGACACATTATTCATTCAAGATCACTCACGCAGATAAGAATAAACTGCAATTACGCAATAAGAAAGCCGGAAAACTTCCTGCGAAGCCAAGGTGCGCCCTATGCGCGGGCTACGACAAGATCATTCTGAAGGAGATTCAAAAATGTGCGTGAATGAACGACTGTGGTACTTCAAGCCATGAGAGCTGACGTTAATCGTCCAATACCGGTTTCGGGCCTCTTTTTCATTGAATCAACGTTATCATCTAGCTGTGCGCGTCCATCAAATTGAAGGTGATATACGAGGTACTCCAACAGCATTCATTTGTTTCTAGGGTTGATTTGATTTGTAAATAAGTTCACTAACGTTAGATTCAGTGATGGAGGTCCGAACATTGGCACATTTGCAGGCGCCACATCCAGGAGCTCTTCGTACTCGTTCGCAAACACGTCCGTCGGGTATCGTAGCCCTTTTGCCGCCGGAAAGCTCTCTTATAACCTACTCTGATCAAAATAGGGACAAAAAGCATAGGTTGCGCAGTATGGAGCATACCTGAGAGTACCACCTCCCGAGGAAAAATTGTAGCGGCTCGAGCGCTGGGGCGAGAGGTACCTCCGGCTCATCTGAAGAGGAATATTATTGTCAACTTGGTGATTTGTGGAATACCTCGTCACACCCCGTACTCAAATATGCGCACAAAAAAAGCCTATGAGCAACGTACCATGATCTGAATCAGGCTTGCATAAATTGCAAGCGAGCGCACAGTTTACATCGAAGAAATTTGTTTGTGTTAACACAGCATGGCATTTATCTTCAGCCGCCCATCGTTCGCAACTTTTGTATATGTTCCGACACTTTCCTAAAGCGGTACAATTACAGCAAGAAGCAAAAATTATAATATAGTTAATATCACCACAGTCACTCGGATCTCAATCAACGGTCCCCACCTGCGGCGTTTCTACCGCTGGTTGTTTTCTTCCCGAATCGATCCCTACCCGATCACCATAGGAGGCGAGGTAATCCTGCGCTGCTAACGCCTTCCCTGACTGATTGCAGTGTTACTTACAAACTATATATCGTAAGTTAGTCCCGCTAGTTTTAAATGCAGCCACCAAGAGGAAAATTTGTGAGAATGTAGAAATGGTTTGATAATGTACAAATTCTACCGTCGCTAAAACTCTTGCTTGACTATGGAGTGGACTGTTTAGAGACGACTGATCGTCAGTGATTACCTGATAGAGCAAGCTCTATTCCCCGTTCGAACGTTATCAAGTCAAGAAAAAAAGCCCCAGTTTTGGACTTATGACATCGCAATCATGAGTGAGATTATGGACATGATATTCTGTTGCATTGCGGAAAAAACTAGTGAATGTGATCTTGATGATGATCCCAAAACTTGATTCGTGATAGGGGGAAGCACGCAGCAGCACCTACGCTGAACGGCTCAGAAATCTAAGACGGAAGAAAACTTAGACAAAGAAAATGAGCTGAGTCTTGTGAACTTCCATTTCGCAAATACGGAATCGTTTTTGGAATTTCACAGGATGAACATGAGGGAAAGGAAGTGAAAAAAAAACAAATGATGAAGCAGAGCGGCGGAAAAAATACTGACTGTGACAAAATCTCCCCATCCATCCTTGTGTGCATTGACAGCTTAGTTTTCCTGGAATACATCTACCATCATTTTGACATGGATTGACGCGACATGTTTCGGAAGTGAAGTGTTTGTACACAAGTTGCTGTGCCTTCTGTACTCCTGAACAGAAACAATTATCACGTACCCAGCATCAGCGTTCTTCCTTGAGATACTCCTCTTTAACACGAAAAATATCCATATTTTCAAATTTTTATATAACTTTGCCATGTTTTGGTCTAACCTGGTGGAAAAAGTCACACGAAGCGGGAAAACATGGAAAACAGCAAGAGAACCTGGTTGGGCTAGGCTGATGAGAAGTAGCGTTGTAACAGAGTACATGTCTGTATGAGTGGAGGAAGAGTGGACGCGACGAACCGGCTGTTTTCGTGTGAACGTGGGGGATTCGCAGTGGCTGTATAGTCACCCAACCGCTCTCCGATCTATTCCCGCCCCCTGAAGAGACTGCGTTTTTGTACTCGGTCTTGATTTGTTACTCACTTTCAGAGACTGTCTCGGTTTTGAATATTTGGCTGTTTTATCTACTGCCACAAATAACAAACATCTTTATTAACGACCTTCCGCCACTTCCTACCTTTTATGTGACACAGATAGGGCCATGAAAAAGTTTGCTTAACAATTTCAAGTTTTGCGTCAAGGTGTAATTCATTTAGTGGTGTATCTCACAAATCAAGCATGCAAGAGGGTCAGGACTGCTTGATTGGCAATCCTGAGAGTTTAGCGATCTATTTGGGCTCTTGATAAGAATCTATTACCCGCAGAAAGGGAGCTGTTCTCTAAAGTGCTGTATGCACCAAACATGCTTGTGTTTTTGGATGTGATCCAGGACATGTCCGGAAAGTTCTCAGCGTTTTGTGTTACTATTTTTTGTACATTCATTGCTGATTAAAAACTCATTCTCCCTTGCGTCTCAGTAGTACATCCTGAAGAGAATTCTTTGCGCTATCTGATGGTATAATTGCCGTTTCACCATTGCTTGATTGACCCCTTTTTTTCAAGAGTTTTTCAAGCATGTCAAAAGAGCAACTTCGGACGATATTGTTCTTCAACTACAAATTGGGTCAATCCGCAGTCGAGACAGCTCGACAAATTAACCAGGTGTGGGGGCCCAATAGTGTTGGAGAAAGCATGCGACAATGGTTCGACAAATTTCGTTTCTGGAGATTTCAGCCTTGAAGAACCTCGTAGCGGTCGACCTAAAGCAATACCTGACGAGGATTTGAAGGCGTTTGTGGAGGCTGACCCATCCCAAACAGTTCGAGAGATTGCAGAAAAGCTAGGCGTTGGCAAATCCACTGTTGCGGATGGTCTGAAACGCATTGGGAAGGTGAAAAAACTCGACAAGTGGGTGCCCCACAATCGGAGTGACCGGCAGGAATCGGCACGTCTCGAGGTTCCTTCTTCACTGCTTTTGCGCAACAGAAACGACCCGTTTTTGACCGAATTGTCACCTGTGATGAAAAGTGGATCATGTATGATAACAGACGTTCCGGACAGTGGTTGGATGCCGACGAACCACCGAGGCAATTTCCAAAGCCGAATCCTCACGAAAAAAAGATTATGGTCAGTGGTGGTCATCGGCTGGTGTGATCCACTATAACTTTTTGTCACCAGGCCAAACCATCACAGCAGAGTCCTACTGTGAAGAAATCGACGAAATGTACCGAAAATTGCGTCAGCCAGCACTTGTCAACAGAAAGGGTCCGATTCTTTTGCATGACAACGCCCGCCCACACGTTTCACAAATCACTATCCATAAATTGAACGAATTGGGGTTGAAGTTCTACCTCACCCGCCATATTCTCCAGACCTTTCACCAACCGACTATCACCTTTTCAAACATTTTCAGAACTTCCTTGCTGGAAAATAGACCAGGCAAAAAAGCCTTCGTGGATTTCGTGGATTCTCGACCACCCAGTTTTTTCTTTGATGGGATTTCTCGACTGGTGTCACATTGGCAAAAGTGTGCTGATTCGAACGGTGCTTATTTCGATTAAATCCGATGAGTATTAAGAAAGTTATGATCGTTCAAAAGTGGAACACTCAGAAACGCTGAGAACTTTCGGACAACCCAATAAATCGCGGCATCGCGCATAGAATAGCAGTGCATTTCTTAATAATTCACTTGACACAAAACATTATTGTTAGGTTGAATCAAACCGATCCTCCTGCAAGCACTGTGCACGTGAAGCGTTTGTAATATCTCTTTCAGTCCGCACATCGCACATCACATCATCGATGTTGCCGCTTTCGCTGCAACTTCGACGTGCTGAATTACCCGCTGTGAAGTCCTCGTTGTGAATTACTCGTTATTTCTAAAAGTGTTGGCTTCAGTTGTTTTTTGCTATTCCAAAGATGAGCATTGGACAAACCGTCATTCGTTTTCCATTTTTCAAAATCTTCAGCGAGCTGGTTCGTCAAACAACATCACACAAACAAGGCAGGCTCTTAGGTTGAAGCGACCTTTTGTGATAGAACTTGAACAATCAGAATCTTTTTCCAGCGCTGATTGAACGGAGTAATGAAGGTCATTCACAGTGCTGTCATACTGAGGACAGGGTTTGTCAAAGCCCGCCACACACCCTAGGAATGCATTCGTGGCAAAACAGTATCACAGTTGTGTTCCGGGACAGCCATTACTCCTGGGAGCAAATTTCCTGCCAATTCAACTTCCACTCAATTTTGTTCCAGCTTCGAAAAATGTGGATGTGCATGGGTGGTATGAACTGAAGCCTTAAGTCCTAGGGCTCTTCTTGCATGAAGAATAATCCTGCAACTGGATTAACTTAGACGGTTTCTTCTCAAGAAACCTGTTTCCGGCTCACGTGTTCGCGTAACTCCCGAAACTGCAACGTACGCAGTACAACGGGTTGCCGTCGCCCATCAAGTTTTTCATTCGCACCTATTTATACATCACTGCAGCCTCTCTGAGGCTCAATGCACAGCATCGTTGGAGATTTCCGAACGGGGGGGGGTCATATTTGGTCGTTGGCGGAGGAGGGTCGTGTTTGGTGTGAGAGGCCGGGCTCTGTGAGAAATTTTTTTGGTTGTTTTTCTTGTTTCACGAACGCTAAAGAGGGAGGGGCTGGGGCTCGTATTTGCTTTCTGAGAGAAATTTGCAGCATCGAGAAGAAAATCTTTCTCCGGTTGTTGACTGTTGACTTTTCGCGGTTTTTCCTGTTCACATGCAGAACCGCGAAAAGTCACAACTGGGAAAAATTTGTTATATACTCCTACACCGATCCGATTCGTCAGCAATTTTGGGGGAGGAAAAGGAAACTCCTTGTTAAAATCTGCAAAAAACTGAAAAAAACTGGTAGAAAGTTGGGAAAAGAAGACGCAGCCTTCTTTGTCGCACTCTTGGCTGCCTTGTATTTTTGCCAGTGTCGGCGGAGTTGTCTTCGAGAAACAAGTGATAGCGCTTCTTCTTCTCGCAAACCTTTAGCCTGACGTCATCTGTCCACAACCATGCCTGCTTTTCAATTCTACGCCTTCCAGGTTTCGTTGTGCCAAGTTCAGAGCGAGCGGCTTGGAACTATCGCTTTGGCAGGCATTCTTCCATGTTTGTCGACAGTTGTGACGGTTGGCGGTCGAATACGAGAAATCACAGCTGCCTCTTTTTCCTTCAAATGTCACCATATTCTCTCAAGACCACATCCTCGATCTGTTTCAACCTGGGCGATGTTTCAGCGTACACATAAGCGAGCGATTCTGCGAGGCTACTATTTCATACGGCACGCTCTTCGCGTGTGACAAGTCCTTGATCGCGATGCCTGACAAGAACAAAGTCTATTTGTGTTCTGGCGCTTCCGCTGTAGAAGGTTATCAGGTGGGAGTCACGTTTACGGAACTTTGTGTTCACGATGGCGAGATTATGGGCTTCTGCATATTCCCGGATGCGTCCATCGACGTAGCGACAATGACAGCGTCTTGAAACATCGACCAATGTCTCTCGACTTGCAACTGGACCATCTTGTTTCCTGCACTGCACAGAGATCGATTCGTCTGCGCTCCAGTGCCTCTGCCAATTCACATGAACGTCCGGTCAAGGTTCCAACGTTCAACGTTGCTGTACGGACTTTACACGCTACACTGCGACACTTTCGGAGTAGCCTAGTTGCCCCCTCCCGCTGCCGTCTCTGTATCAAGGGCTCGCATACTTTCCACACTCGTCGGGCCTTGCGAATGCGCGTCGGCTCCCGCGGACGCCGTAGCATTATCTCGAATACATATGGCATGACAAACATGTTGATGTGACATGGGTGTTCGTAGGCCGGCCCGTCACGAAGGCCTGTCACCTGCGTTCGTTGTATGTGGTCGGCTCAGCAGAAGTGGGCAGTTTCTAGTGGGATCACGTGGAGGAGCAGACGTCACCACCTTC